CTTCTTTTCCACTCTCTCTCTCTCTTTTTTTCGATTTGAACACTCTTCATTCATCAATAGGGTGTACAATTTGCCTCATGTCATATTTCTCCAAAATCTTATTTGCATTCATAGACAATCCTAATTCTTGAGTTTTATCATCTCAAGGAAAATGACTAATGCCTCATAAAATAAAAGACATGTATGGAGGTAACATCTCTATCAAATTCTACAATCCCATGTCCTCTGCCCTTGACTGAGAAGTTGAAGGAAAGCTTTTCAACAACTTTTATTGAAGACCTTGAATAGAAGTCATTCACTACAGAATGAATCCTCAGAGGTCTGTCTGTTTACCCGTGATGTTTGTTATTCATCAAGGAGTGAAGAAGAAAATATTGAATGTGGGTTTTAATTGATTTCTTAGAGAGAGAGGAAGGGAGAGGTAGAGAGAGATAGAAACATTAATGAGAGGGAAACATCAAAGGGCTGCCTCCTGCATGTTGCCTACTGGGGATTGAGCCTGCATCCAGGCAATGTGCTCTGACTGGGAATTGCTCCAGCGACCTCTTGGTGCACGGGTCGATGTTCAACCACTGAGCAACATCAGTCAGGCAATAAGAAAATATCATAAACTAGTGGCCAGGTGCACGAGATTCTTGCACTGGGGAGGGGAGGGGTCCTTCAGCCCAGCCTGCAGATCTCTCTCAGTCAGAGATCCCGGGGGGGATGTCTGTCTGCCGGCTAAGCTGGCAGTCAGACATCCTGCTTGCAGTCCGGCGCTCTCTCTGTCCAGGACCCCTCACTCCTTCCTGCCCTCCTGTAGCGGAGGCAGGAGAGATTCCCACTGCCGCTGCTCTCACCAGCTGTGAGCCCAGCTTCTGGCTAAGCAGCACTCCCCCTGTGGGAGTGCACTGACCACCAGGGGGCAGCTCCTGCTTTGAGCTTCTGCCCCTTGGTGGTCAGTGTGCATCATAGTGACTGGGTGTTCTGCCATTCAGTCGATTTGCATATTATGCTTTTATTATATAGGACTAGAAGCCCCTTGCAAGAAGATTCCTACAAGAATAGGGCTTCGCTCCCACCTCGGCTGCCCCGGCTCCGTCCCACCTCCTGCCTCCTCCCGCATCCTCCTACCGCCACCACCTCCACGGCTGCCACGGCCACCACCGCCATTGCCACCGCCTCCGCCACTGCCACCACCACTGCCCCCGCCTCGCAGCGGCAGCCTCAGCAGCTGCCTGCCGCCCAACCCCCACCAGCCGCCTCCCACCCCTGCCTCCAAAGTCTCATGTTTCAGATCCTAGATATCTCTGTGCTGCTGTCTAGAGTACTCCAGCT